AAAACCCATTCCCTGTACTGAAGTAGACCTACCCCTTAAACTAGTCCGATACTTTGGTTTCACAAATATATCTGTTCCCTTTAGATTATAACAACTTTTCCTTTTCACAAAATATGCTTGAATGTTCGAGGGTAGTATATAATTCTGAGCTTTATACATAAGTAGGAGAATATTATAATCCACCAGATCATAAAACTTAAGTAATTTCAATTTATAAAATAAAGTAGTTGTAGGATGACAGTAATGTTTTCTTGTTATAATTCTTATAGCTCTTTTCTGTAACACAAAAATAGGCTTAGTTATAGTTTTACAAGCTGTTCCCCAAACATCAACAGTAAATTAAATGCGGGACTATAAAAGTATTGTACAGCAAACACAAAGCATTATCATTCAAAAGGTCCCTTACTTTATACAGTACTGCCATGGACTTAGATATTTTAATTTTTACAAAATGTATATGTTGTTTCTTGAACACTGGTGCGAGTACAAGGAGAAACATACTTTAACTTGATGCTTTATGAAGAACTGTCTGCATAATTTATAGATTTTTTTTTTATTTAAAAAAGTTGGTTAAAAACTTATTGTTTTCCCTCTTTTTTAAAAGAATCTGGTCTTTTTTACTTTAAATGTTAAAAAGCATTAGATATTTGTTTGCTTTATAATGTCACCCCTACTGGCCATAAAAGTCCACTACAGAAAACCTAAAGTGGCTCACGGGCCTCCAGTTGATGACCACAGTTGTAGCAGGTTGCTGCAGTTCTGGACATGTTTAATGTAGTGAACAAAGGCGTACAAATTTATATTTTGATCATAAAGGTTGCAGACCCCTGGTTTAGTTGATTGAATGATCCAAATCAGATGTACCATCATATGGTTGTGACAAAAACCTGCAGCCACTCTGCCCTTTCACAGATCACTTTGAGACCTCTGCTTTAAAGGGTCCAGCCCTTAATTGTTTTTTTATTTGAAGGTGTAGTGTGTGAACACTATGCAATTCTTTATTAGGTTTATATAATTTGTATAAATTGGGATTAAGATTTATTATAGCCCAACAATAGATCGTTAGCTCGATCCATTGTTAGGCTGATGGTCCTCCTTTTACATGTGAACAGCTAGTTTGAATGTCAACAACAAACTGGTTGACCCACGATGAGGTGATATTAGAAGACTGAGCTTTTTATAGCTCCTCAAACCGACAAAGTATTTTGGATTCAAGATGAAACATTTCGACAACTTTTTTTTTTTTTTATCTATCCAGAGGACCTGACTTAACTTTTTTATATTT